CCCGGGGCCGGGGCCCTGCCTGAGGCGGGAGCTGAAGCTGCTCGAGTCCATCTTCCACCGCGGCCACGAGCGCTTCCGCATTGCCAGCGCCTGCCTGGACGAGCTGAGCTGCGAGTTCCTGCTGGCTGGGGCCGGAGGGGCCGGGGCGGGGGCCGCGCCCGGACCGCATCTCCCCCCACGGGGGTCGGTGCCTGGGGATCCTGTCCGCATCCACTGCAACATCACGGTGAGGACTCTCTCGCGTGCGCTTCTGTGGGGGACCCTTGTCAGGGACTCAGGATCGCCTCATCCAGCTCTTTGCTCTCCAAGGATCTGAGAGGCCAAAGCCCCTCTTGGGGTTCGGCTCCCCCTCTGCAGGTGCCACTTGTGTCTGCTGCTTGAGGTCCTGCCATGCTCCCAGAATCTCTATCGTTGACCCCGATAGCTAGGAACACCCCGACATATGGCGCCTCCACTACCCCTTTCCACGAACCCACCCACTTCCCAAGGTTCACGATTTGGGCTCTTTTTGGCTACTCCTCCACGACTTTACCTTGCCACTTCGGAATGCCCCTTTCTTCCCTTCACTCTCATCTCAAGGTTTCAGGCCTCTGCACTGACTCCGGCTGGAAAGACCTAGCCTGGAACTCTGTACATTTCAGTGATGCCCCTTCTCAGTAGTGCCTTGACTTAGGGCATTGCCACCTGTGGGATCCCCACCCATCCATCCCATGCAGCCCCTCTTTGCTCTCTGAAATTCCCCAGGTGATAGTTTGCAGCTCGTTGGCTCCTCTTCCTTCTCTTTGGGGTCCCTTTTCTTCTGGTGTAGCCTCTAAATCTCTTCTTGTGCCTCAGCTGGTAGCAGATCTACACTCCCCTCCCTGTTCTCTGTGGATATGTCCAAATGCCCTGTGTTGGTGCCTTTCCTGGTGATGTGAAGTACGCGGGCTACCCCATTTACTCTGAGAAGTACCGGTTCCAGTTCTCCCCAGTAAGCATCATCCCGCTTTAGGCATACTGTACCTTCCAGGTCGCCTGCCTAGTCTATCCTCAGACATCCCTTGAAGAGAGGCTTGGTCTCGGATAATTGGGGACTGTCTGGTACTGCATGGTGTGGCACTTATGTTGGTTGATGTCACCTGCTGTGATGTGATGGCCTTTTCCCTGCCAGAAGCAGTAGCTGGGATGCTAGAAGACAGTGCTTGATCCAAGCAGGCGAACTGTGAATGGGAGTAGCCTGGGGAAAGACAGAGTTGTGAATTCTGTGGTACTTGGGGACCTGAATTCAACTTACATGGTGTTTTCTGTCCCTTTCTCAGTCAAACCGGGTCAAGTTTTGGTGAGGTAAGCCTCAGCTTGGGTTAAATGGTGCCCCACCAAAACTCACATGTCCCACTTCTCGCTTCCATTTCTTCCCTCTCTCCCCCCTGCTAAAAAGATAAGGTTGAAGGACTGGGGTGGCTGAGTTGGGTGAAGACTTGAGCATCTTTGACCATTTACCCTCCAGCATTGAGGATTAGAGCCGTGGCAGAGCTAAGATCCCCAGTAGCAGTGGATAAGGTTTCCTTGGCATGTGTGGAAATCTCGAGTTGATTTTGTTCCTGAATTAAGCCTCCAATTCCTTAAGGGTAGATTTACCCCCCATCCAGCTGCCCTTCCAGCTGCCAGAGGCCATCTCTTTTTTTAGTCCCTAGCAGGACGTTAATTCTGGGGGTCCTCAGGTAGACTCCCTGTGGCCCCTATGAAAGACACTTGGCCTGAACCAGCCCCTTAGGTGAGGGCAGGGGGGAGTCTGGTCAGGCTGCATTTGGCATCGCAGCTCAGGAATGCTGGGAATGTCAGCAGCGTAGGCTTCTTTTTCCCTGCCTGCCATGTGGAGCCCTACAGCCCACGCCTGGACTGAGAAGGTAGCAGGTTCCCAAGGGAGAGGTGGAGGAACTGGTCTTTGAGGGGCTCTCTTGGGAGTGATGTGAGCAGATTCTTCCAGTATGCTTTTACTTGGGTTCTGGAGAAACCATCTAGTTCTTACCCTTCCTTCCCTGTTGGACCACACTCTTAACGTCAGTGTGATTGGGATGGTGATCCTTTCCTCAACTGACTTTAGAGTTTGAAAAGCAGAAGGGTTGGCGGGCTCTGTTCTGGGTACAGGGAGAACTTCAAGTCTGGAACTTGCATAAGCAGTACAGTAGACCAGGAGTCCTCCCTCACTGTGGGCAGAGTCGGCTATGCTGGTTTTCCTGGTTTTGACACTCCAGGAAGGAAAGAGGGTCCAGACTGCTTCTTGGAAAGGGTCCTCCCAGGGACTGCTTTTCTGCCAGTCTAAGAGTTTCTTGGGAAGCTGCCTGGTTAGATACTGACCTGAGCTGGGCTTTTATGAGCATGTGGATGATGGGGTGGGAAGCAAAGGGACTCAAGGCCTTCGGGGACAGAGGACTGGCAAAAGCTGACTTTTCCTGGAGTCGCCCATTGTGACTGCTTTCCCTGCTTTTTTCTCCTCTCAGGAGTCATACCCTGCTGTGCCCCCCATCTGGTCGGTGGAGTCCGATGACCCTAACTTGGCTGCTGTCTTGGAGAGGCTGGTGGACATAAAGAAAGGGAATACTCTGGTGAGGGGCCACGGGGCAGGGGTGCGTTTATTCCAATGAGGCCCATACCACAAAGGCATCCTGTGAAAGGGTGCTGTGTCTGGAAAGTGGTGGTACAGTAGGCTGAACATTTGGGGGCAACCTTCTTGGGGGAGTTGCCTACTGAAGCCAGAAGGAGATCCTGCACCAGCCCCAGGATGGTCCACCAGGAGACTCATTCCTATGGCTATGTCGTTAATACAGTTTAGCGAACTAGGTACTCATTAGAGGTCCGTGCTAAGAGCTCCTCCATGCACCTGTCCAGAGTGGAGTGGCGAAAGAGTATTTGATGTCTCTGTGCTCCCCCACCTCAGCTACTGCAGCATCTGAAGAGGATCATCTCTGACCTGTGTAAGCTCTATAACCTCCCTCAGCATCCAGATGTGGAGATGCTGGATCAGCCCTTGCCAGCAGAGCAGGTGAGCTGCTGCCCCACACAGAACATCCAGGAAACACTTGTGACCCGGGACCCATCTGTAGGAGCCTCTCTTCATCCCTGCCCCTTCTGGAACGCGTGCACATGTGACTGTCACCCTCTTGCTTCTCCAAATGGGAGGCCAGTTAAGTGGGGCACTAGTAGCTTCATCTCCTCCCTCGCCACTCACTCTCATGGGCAGCATGCCTAAGAAGGGGGAGGGTATCATTTTCTCAGCAGTAGCAGTTGGTGACCACTGGGGACCCAGGCCCCTTGTTGAGAGCCAAGTATGCAGTATCAGTGTAGAGAAAGCAAGTAAAGGAGGTGTTCTTGGGAAAATCAAACTGGGAATTGTGAGGTGGGTGACGGAGACAGCCATTTTGCTTCTCTTTTATTCGTTGGTGTATGGCAGGAGGCACATAATGGGCTGTTAGCAAAGTGATTCCCTGGGCTGTTGGTTCCACTCAGATCTGGCTGGTGGAGAGCCTTGTGGCTTTACGGGCAGGTGCACAGCTTCCAGTCCTGGGGGCTCAGGAAGCAGGTCAGAGGCTGCCTTCCAGTGAGCCACAGGGGCACTGATCTCCATCTTTCCCTCCCCACTGCAGTGCACGCAGGAAGATGTGTCGTCAGAAGATGAAGATGAGGAGATGCCTGAGGTAGGCTTGGCCCCTAAAGGCATGGCTGGGAGAGCTTTCAGTCAGCAGCAGTGATCACTCGCTGTACTCCGACCTCAGTATAGATCTGGAGAGAGAAATATCAAAGGAATAAAGACAGATTTGTTGACCTGGAGGAACAGCCAGTGTAGTAGAGGAGACAGGCACCATATTCAACCGTTGAAGGCAGATGCAAGTCTGTCCAAATTAAGTATTTGATAAGTGAATTTCAGGTGGCCTTGGAGTCTGACAGACCTGAGCTTGCAACTCAGCTATCCTAATGAGGGGATTTCTACCCAGTCTCGCTAAGTTACAATTTTCTTATCCGTAAAATGAGATAATTCCCACCACATATGAAGATTGAATGAGGTGCTGGCATATAAAGGGCTTTATACAATACATAAAAAGTGCTAAATCTATCTGACTTATTCTCTAAAAACAGATACTTTTGCAGAATGTAACCTAAAATGACTAAGCTAAATGAGCATCAGAACTAGACAGAACTTGATTGAAGTTTTAGCTCTGCTAAGAGTTCTGTGACTTTTGGGCATGACAGTTAACCTCATTAGACCTCAGCTTCCTCATCTGTAAAATGGGAGTAATGATAGAATAATGATGTGGTTGTAAGAATAAAGTGAGCTAGTATGCATAGCATCTAGTACAGAAGCTGAAGTGTAGTAAACACTCAGTAGATATTAGCAGCTAATGTAATAACCAGGTTAGTATGTCCTGAAAGAGCAAGGGGAGTACTGTGATCACTGTTGTTTCCTAGCGTCAGATTCACATCCCAGGTTCTGTAACTCTGAGGGTCTTAAGACCAACAAAGGGCTGGTGACACATGAAACAGCCTCCCAGACAGTGGGCAGCCCCTCTGCACACGCCCCAGCCTCTGCCTGAGGGACTGAACCCTGGATGCAGTCTCCCCCATGCACAGTGAACTGCTCACTTAAAACAGGTTGAGTAAAGGGGCTGATTCTGCTCATGACCTCTTCCATCTCTGGACCATCTAGATCACTTTTTTCATTTCCATCTTGGCAGAGACGGATACCTAGTTCTCAACCTGCATTTGTAGGGCGGGGAGGAGATTTATGATCCAGGTTTCTCCTTTAGACTTGGGGCCTTGGGAACTCCTAGGTACAGTAGTCACCTGGTGAAACAGGAGCTTTGAGTCACAGGCCCCTGTCATTCTGCTGGGAATTAGGAAGAGTTTCTGCTGCCAAGGGAGAGCTGAGCAACAGCTGGAATGGGTCATTCTAGGGAATAAGAGGGCTGAGTCCCTGCTTGAGTCCCTGCCTAGGTCCCCGCTGTATTTTGGCAAGCTCCCCAGGTCCTCATTGTAGTTCTGCCACTGCAGCTCAAGTAAGAGAACTAGATAGGATAAGACATTTGCCATGTCCTTTAGATGGTGGAGGGAATGGGGCTGCGAATTGTTCCAGAAATGGGAAGGGTATTATGTTTATAAGCCTGCTAGGTGGCCTGCTGTGCCTTAACTTTTGGCCCTTGGCCAGATGGGACTAGGAAGGTACTGGCCATTCTCCACAACCCATTTTGGTCTCTGTCCTCTGTTCCACAACCACCACACACCTTACCCAGGACACAGAGGACCTAGATCACTATGAAATGAAAGAGGAAGAGCCAGCTGAGGGCAAGAAATCTGAAGATGATGGCATCGGAAAAGAAAACTTGGCCATCCTAGAGAAAATTAAAAAGAACCAGAGGCAAGATTACTTAAATGTACGTGCCTTAAATGAGGTTGGGTGGGCCTTGATGGGTGATGCCTGGAAGTGATAGGCTATGGCATATCAGTGTGGGGAGAAGGAGAAGATTCCTTTTTTTTTTTTTTTTTTGAGTTGGAGTCTCACTGTCACCCAGACTGGAGTGCA